CCTGTTGAATGACCTTAAGAAGACCAGCTAACAAGCTTTAAATTGTCTTTGGTTCTTTTCTATTTCTTTCCACAGTGCTCCCAGGCATGCAAGCAAATTTAGACATACTTAGCAATAAAAAAAACCCCATTTTATCTCACAATTGCAAACTCCTTTTCTCTTTTCCCACCATCCTTTCACCCAGGTGGTAAAGCTCAACCAACATTTTCTTTGGTCTGGGGCTGCTGACCTCATGAATGAGGTCGAGCCCCACTAAGGTTGAGTGCATGATGTGTCTTTTAATTTGTCTCCTCTCTATTTTAAATTTTTTTAGTATTTTTTTTAGAGTTGTTTTATGTAAGCCGCCCAGAGTCCTTCGGGATTGGGAGGCATATAAATTCATTAAACTTTGAACTTTGGTCCCTCCCCAAAAAGTATTCCCTAGTTTCTGAAAGGGAATACTTTTAACACGGAGAAGGATTTTATTTGGAGAATGAAATATTGCTATTCTTCTTTTCCAGATCAATTAACTGATGTAAGTCAGGGGGTTACGGTAGGTAAGATAGGGGTAGTAGGACAAAGGAGGTAGAATTCGATCAAGGAGTGTCTTGAATTTACAGGATAAATTACCCATTTAATGGGGAATCTGTTCCTAGATATGTTGCAGATTGCGCCTAAATGCTAAGCCTGCTTTATGCAGAAATGTGAAAAGTAAATGGGGGACTGGGAAAAAGAACAGATTTTTTTTTTTTTAAATCCGAAGCCAGCGGGCCAGAAATAGGGATCGGTTGCACCTTCATTAGTGCAGTTCCTGTTGGTTTTCGTTTTTTAAACCTTCTGTCTCTAGCAAGCCCTTCTGTTGCTACATCACTGAGAATGTGATAGCAGGGCCTGATAGGACAGACAAGCAGAAGAAGCAGATGGATGGAACAGAGAATGGTTGCCATGGAATTCTGATTCTACTTCTAATTAGGATATCTGATTCGGGATAAAAACAACAACAACAGCAACATTCCCAGGAATCCCACATCCTAGTAGCAAGGAACCGTGCTTGTCCTTTTGATCCAACCAGATAAGTCTTCTCATTTGTTTGTTGTTTCTGTTGCTGTGTTCTTGTTTACCTTCATTTCATTTTTTTGTTTTCAGTTGACATGTGGTCTGTAGGGTGCATCTTGGGAGAAATGATTAAAGGTGCTGTGTTGTTTCCTGGCACTGATCGTATCCTTCCTAGGCTGTGGGCTTCTCCAGATAAACATTGTTGTTCTAATTGACACTTCTGATTTGGAGCAGCTTAATGCTTACAGACTCTTTATGAACCGCAATGCACATTGTACGTAACGATCTCTTCCCATCACTGCAATATCCTTTATTTGAACCTTTGCCCTAGATTCAGAATTCCTGAATTCCTTGTTCCCTGTTTGTCAAGCATTCTTCTTTAACTTTCTGCATGACCCAGGGGTGGGTTCCTACCAGTTCGCACCTATTTCGGTAGAACCGGTTCGTCAAATCTACCGAACCGGTTAGAAGAGGTTCCACCAGTGGACCCGGAAAGCAGGCCACACCTACAGAAGAGGCTCCAAAGTTTTTTGAAACCCACCACTGACACACACACATACACACAGACAGACAGACAGAC